TCAGGTAGAAGGGAAGTACTGGATGCAGTGCCCAGAAATTTTGCCTCTGGGAGAAGAGACAAAGGGTTCCTGCAAATATAGCTTTGATGCCAGTAGAAGGAGGGAAAATGAACTCCTGGGTAGGGGGGGGTGAGGGGTGGAGGGGGGTGTGTGTGTGTGTGTTTCACAGTCCTTCTTATACGGTTTTTAAGACTTTTACTGTGGAGATTGTTTCCCTATGCTGACCGGAATTTGCTCCAACTCTTTCCTGTACCTTTACTCACATTTTGTTTCATCTGCTTTCCCCTTTCCTTTTCCTTTTTTGTGCTTTCCCAATACTAACTTCTCTCAATAACTTGTTTAGATTTTTGGCAGAATCTGCCAATAGCACTTCATGTCTTGTGGATGCTCTTCGAGTATGGGATGATTGGTTTATAAGGTTCACTAGGGAGAAGGAACAGGGATATGCAGTCAGGTGTGCCCCAAACTGCCAATATTGGTTAGCATGATAATAACGATCTTGTCAGGCCTATCTAGGTTCCACGGACAAAATAGTATTCTGAAGGAGTATTTGAAGGATAAATATTTTCTTTTATGCTGCTTGGAAAGGTTTCTGAGTGGAAGCCATGTTTGAGACACCCCCAGACAGGTGAGGAGTGTTGGCAGAGAGGAGGCAGGAACTGACAGCTTGATAAAGACATGAGAGGTTCCTGCACACTATGCCTTGGCAACTATGAAAATGAGAAATAATTTAATTGTGCTTGTTTTCCAAATATGTTTGCAGGGCAATGTAAATTTTAATGGAATTATGTTACATTGCTCATGTCTTCTTTTTCAGGGTGTCAGTGGAGTCCAGGAAGTAATTAGATTACATCTGGATTTTTTCTTAAGGCAGTCGTGAAGACCTTTATTTGTTTATTTTTAATTTGTACAGTTTGCATCACAACATGTCTCACCTTGTGTAACTGCTAGTGGGGTTAAGGAACAGAGTCACGGGGATATCCAATATCTGAGAGCATAGTGTCAACACTTCTTTGAGTATTTATGCATACGCAGAGAGAACATGGCTAGGTTAATAAAGGAGGCTTTTATGAAAAGTATTTCAGTGAGGGAATTTGTCCCACTGTCTTGGAATGGCAAATGCATGGTCTGACAGAAGAGAAGATATTCTATATGCAAAAGCCAGATATAGAGGAGTCTTAAAGAGCAGATCAAGAGTGACAAACTTTTCAACAGCCTAACCGTCCTCTCTTTTTCTCAGTTCTCTGACCCTAGGAGCTAATAATACATAATACATATCATGGTGGTCATTCTCACATCCTCTACTTCAGTCTCTTTCTGAAGTGTTCTTTGTAGCCTTTCATGTTTGCATCCAATATAAAAAACTCTCAAAGTATTTTGTTTTTCCCCAAAGGATTGCCTTTTACCAGTTGGTTATTGCTGTTTATTAACAGCCATATAATTTGTGACTAATTTATTTTTCCCTGCAGCAATGGCAGTAAAGTCCTTTCACAGTTGAGAAGTGAGCAGCTGAATTGTGCCTTATGTTTGCACATCAGGCAAAGTCATATGGAGAAACACTGAAGCATATTTTTATTCACAGTTGAGAATGACTGTAGAAGCATAGCCTTTCAGAGACAGCCCTTTAGAAATGACACAAATATATAATGAATGAAGACTGCTTATCTGCATAAACTTCATATATGTACAGATAAACCCTGAATGCAAAGAACCTTGTCTTATTCCTGCCTTCATTTTATTTAGTCTGAAAGAGTTATTTGTTAATGTCACTATTAGGTTTAGTCAGTGTTTAGAATGTTAAATTTAAAAGAAAGAGAAAAAAATTGCTGTCATGTTTCAAATTAAAATTAATTTCTAACATAATTTTTTTCCTTCAGTTTCTATTACCACCAAGCTAGACATCAACTTAAAGATCTGGAAGTTTCAGTAATTTTAACAGATAGATGCATATATTACTTGTTGAATCAAGTGGCCAAAAATATTATCACAATATACTGCCTTGCTAAAAAAATATTAATATAGCCTGTTGATGTTTTATTTTATTTTATTTTATTTTATTTTATTTTATTTTATTTTATTTTATTTTATTTTATTTTATTTTATTTTATTTTATTTTATTTTATTTTATTTTTATTTTTATTTTATATTTATGTGCCTCAGTTCTATACAACACCGTGGCACATACAGCTGTTCAACTACCTATCTGTTCCTGATTTTGCTGTATCTTATCTCTTAAAGTGAGACCAAATTAGAATTGGACATCTATTTGTCTACCTGCATCTTAACGGGAGATTTTATTGAAAAGGTCTGCTTTTCTGTTGACGTTTCTCTGCAGCTTTGCAGCTAACAGACTTAAAACTCTGAAATTTCCTTTACTTGCTGTAGATTGAAGGAGACTGGTAGTGAATCATATGCATTGCGAAACTCTTAATTCTAAGTATACTATAGAGAATCACCTTATTATAACCTCACTTGCAAATGTCTGGTTAAGTTCAAATTTATACCATACATGTGATATGTAGGTTGTATATGGGAAAGAGAAACATCAGTCTTGTGGATTGTTGAACACTGGCTTACGCAGTAAATTGAAAGTGTTCTATGAGCTAGAGATTAGTCAACAAATGCAATTGAAGTAATTAGCACTCATCTGGTACTACTTTGAGTAAGCTGAATGAAAATTATCGATGCACATCTATCCTCTGACAATTCCCTGGTTTGCTTAGGGTCCTTGAGGTCAGAGGATGAAAGAAAATAACCTGGTGCATTGATGCCAGAACATTTATTTGAAAATGTAGATATTGTCCTGATATTCATAAAGTGCTAGAGCATGGTGTTAGTTTAGTTTTCATATTTTTAAGGCCAGTAGTGATATGAATATAGCTGTGTTTGAATGCTTTAGTGCCAGGAAAAAATAAAAAAAAAAAAAAAGTTTTATCCTTCACACATAAAAAGGACTTAGAGAAGAAGAAAAGTAGAAGAACCTTTCACCATAACACAGGGAAGATATGAATTATGCTTTTGTTTGTTTTATGTTGAGGCTATTAGTGGTGTAAGAACAGTAGGTGTCTAACATTAGGGAAAGCTACCATCAGCATGTGACACAGCACCATGTGGAGAACAAATACTACATTATGTAGATCAAATGGTGATATATGCATTAGAAAAGTGTGTATATAGATTGGTGTTTTCCCTCTAGGCTTCCCCCCATGTAGGGTTGGGTCTATGAATTAGAATTAGAATTCCAGAAAATTTGGCTCAAAAGAGTGCCAGAAAAAGATGAGAGCTCAGGATAGGAGGGATTTCTCTAAAAGAGTGAAATTTATCTCTATGCAAGGGTCAGCATAAGATTTAAGCAAGACCTGAATGGTATTTACATGTTATGCAGTGATCAAATACATAAAGATTTGCTATATATATATATTTAATAAGCAAATCCCTGTATAGTATAAGTTACAAATATTTTCAAAAAGTGTATGTTGCTATTGTTACTACTGGTTGCAAGTCTTTGCCCTGGAGTTATTCATTTTAAATTTATAATTTATTCTGGGACAAACTGTTAAAAAAAAAATCTGACTTGATAATAAGTGGCCAGGCTGTGTCACCTGGACAAATAGATGTCCGTGTTCCTTTCTGATGTCATTTTGCCTCCTATGCAAAGAGGAGAAATTGAAGTTTTAGTTAAATTAGCTCAAGTATGGGTACATATGCAAAGATTGAACTGAAAAGGAAATGGATTTTGGAATATATTTGCCAAACTTTGAAGCCATGGGATCTCCTGATCTCCTTCAGTGTGTAATTTCTTCCTTAGACTGCACTGTGGGATAAAACCACATTGTGGTTTCAGTACCATTTTATTATTTTATTTTATTTTATTTTATTTTATTTTATTTTATTTTATTTTATTTTATTTTATTTTATTTTATTTTATTTTATTTTATTTTTTATTTTTTTCCCCGTTTTATTTTCCCCTATAAGTTCTCCACGAAAATGCGCTGAAGTTTGACTCTCCATTACAAGATCATGCAATCTATTTCCAGAAAACTCTATATTTCTGATGGAATATTTGTCTTAACAGTTTTGAACAAAAGAGAGAACTCATGGCGGTTGTATCAGATATAATGTGTAGCTATATCAGTTGAGAGAGTGGTGTTATTTTAATGCAATGAAAATATTATTTTCTTAATTTTCACTGAAAAACCCTTGTGTACCTGTAAGTGCAAATCAATACATGTCTTTTCAAAATGGGAACCCATGTGTATCGATCTCATACTGCAAAAATAGTTATCAATTTCTTCATTTTAATGTATCTGCTAGTTGCTTACTTTGCAAACTCCTATTTTCCAAAAATTTGGATCCCAAGTGTTTTTTTTTTGTTTTTGTTTTTTGTTTGTTTGTTTTGTTTTGTTGTTGTTGTTGTTTTTTTTTCTTTCCTGTGATTATGCTGAATTTTAATGCTTATTTCGAAGAATTTTCATTGGCAACAATGCAAATTTGTCATTAGCCATTTCTTCTAGTGATGGGTTCTATCACCCAGAACATAAGGCCTGAAATTCATTAATATTTTGTTATTTAATTGTGTATTGGCTGGTCAGTACTTATCAGTCTTTGCTTCTCTATGCTTATTAGAACAGTTTAATATTGTTTCTGGGTTTTACAGGTATTCATCATTTGCAGAAATTAGGATTAAATCAGGAATCATGTGTATTTGTGATAACAAGCTGGACTCAGTCTTAGGAAAGTGGGGTGTATTTACTAGTTTTAACAAATGCGTCCTTTGAAAGATGGGATGATGAAATGTAGAGCTCTAGCACAGGTGACTTGACTCACTTTTATGAAAGTAAGGTATTGAAGAGTTTGTGCAACCCCAAATTGATACTGAATTTTAAAAGCTTAAATGAGACATCAAAAAAAAGGAATCTCTTAGCTTGGTAAGCTCCCTGTATAGATAGTGAAGTAGTGTGTTCTGTTGGGATCACTCATGAATTAATTTACCCATACAGTGGATTCTGCCTCTCTGTGCTTACTAGAACAAGAATACAGAATAACTTGGGTCCCAGTTTGGAGTCTGCTGTATACCAGAAAGTTATGAAGCTGAATCTGGATCTAAGTATACAATAGGGTAAGTGGTCATTAGAAGGTTCTGAAGGATGAGTTTGTCACATTTTCTGTGATATACCGTTTGTAATTCATGGAAGTGCCCTTACCCACTTCAGGTTCAAAGCCATAAAATTATCATGCAGTTAGTTATCTGAGTCATCCCTTTTTCACAAAAGGCTATTGAACCTGGAAGATTGCCTTTTATGTGGCAGATTACTCCTAAAGACCTTTTTCTGAGGTGAAGGAAAGAGATCAAGGGCAGAGGGGACACTGAAGTTTTTCCTGGTGTAATGAATTTTGAACCCATTTTTCTCACCTATAAGTGAAAAACAAAAACAAAAAAAAAGCCTTGCATCATTCAGGCTATAGAATAATGGGGGCTTGGAAAGAACAATGTTTCCTGTTCCCTATAAAATTTCATATTTCAGAAAATCAGAGTTAGTCTTTGAGAGACTATATTCACTAGCGTAACCACTGGCAGAAAAGACATGACTTCCCTTCTCTGATTGGAAAAATATTTTGTGCACTTAATAAAAGAGATGGATGGTTTAGGCAGAAAGGAAAAGTTCAGTCATTTGCCTTTTTAATTCAGCTTGCATGTACGGAACCATTATCTCAGCATTTGAGTGAGCCCTGCTTGTCAGTAGTGTAAGTAATTAAAGGGTTCAGTGGTTAAATATTACTACAAGTAGTTCAAAAACAAATTGTTGGTTTTGAAGACACACTGGGAGACAAACAAATGAATAATAAATGTGTGGATGCATGCGTAGATCTGTAGCTGGAAAAATAGCTGCAGACAGCTCACCATTCTCTGTCACTTTTTTTTTCATTACAAAATGACAATCAGTGAAATTATGGTTGGGAGTGGGGGTAATGTGAAGGAATAAAGCACTGACATTAGTTTCCAGTTCAAAATTAAGTAGTGGTCCCTACAGCAAAGGAAAAGCTATGCAAGCATTTCAATTGCCAGTGGTGATTGTTTCGTCAAGCCTTATACCACAGAGCTGAAATACTTACATGAACTATTTTAGTCAAGCTAATCTTTCTGAGATTGTCCATTTATACAAAATATTAAATTTAAAATATTAAATTTAAAATAATCTATCTTGTAATACCAATTCATGTAGTGTTTTCTATCTTAACCTTTCCTTTCTACTTTCCCCACTTTTTTTTTTTTTTTTTTTAATTTAAAGTATAATTAGATTTGTTAGTAATTATGATTGAAATTAATAGATGCTTGCCTGCTGAGAGATCACTTACAACTACAGGCTCTAACCAATGTATTAACACAATAACACACATCAAAGGATTAAAACATTCCTTTCTCTACATGTTTTCGTTATCAAATGTCAGCAGATGACCTAGCTGTGGATGATTCTGAAGCCTTTCAGAAAAATGACCATCACAAGTTGCTGTAAACAGCGATATACATGGAAAATGACAATTTAATGACTAAAACATTATTCTGTATTTAATTTTTCTTGTCCTCTTTTATTGTGAATTCCCAACCTGAAAAACAAAGAGCTGTGGGGACACAGAACCATTTAAAAAGTTGTTACAATACTAACAGACTCTAATGACATTTACAGGTCTTTAAGGTTATCCACAGCATACCTTGATCGATCGATCGATCTATCTATCTATCTATCTATCTATCTATCTATAGCAATCCTGTCTTCTGATGTCATTTGGAAAAACTGTCAAAAGCATCTTAAGATTTGACATACTATGACAAAGTGGTTTCTAGCAGAAGTCTTCAGTATGAGTATGTGAAACAAGTAATAATAATCTTCTGCAGTTGTTGTGTGGAACAGAACATATTTAATTATCTTTACTAATTAAACAATAATGAGGTTGTTATTAGATTGAGAAGTACAACACTGACTCAGCCAAGTTCATATTAAGCCTACTATTTCAGTCATTCTAAAATATTACAGAAGTATTTTCAATTATACTTTTTGGCTGAAAGGCAAATCACAAAAAATGTTGCCTGCTACATCATCTTTTTTTTTTTTTTTTTTTTTTTTTTTTTTTTTTTTTTTTTTAAACAGGCTGATAAGGCTTTGAAGAATTTTTTAAAAAAATTGGATATTAATTGAAACCTGATTTTTCTACTATTAATGTATTAGACCATGACCACAATTCAGAAGTGCAGTGATATACCTGTAGCTGTGCAAGTTAGGAGATTTGGAAGTCTTGCTGGGTTTCTGTATAACTGTTCACAACCAAATAAAAAATAGAATGTATACTGTATGCATTTAAAAAGTACCTAACAACTTCTGTTGTTATGTGTATAGCATATTTTTTTCATCTTTGTCCATGTCATAAATGCTAAGGCTCAATAATCATATTTCATATATATTTAAAATATTTTGTGTATCATTGAATGATAGTGCTGTTATTTATCTTTGAAAGATACATTGCTATCCCTCTGGTTCCTATAATGGCTAAAAGTAATATTAAGTAAAGAGTGAATGGACAATATTTAAAGCATGACTAAAACGTGACTCTTTTCTACTGCCTTGGAATATATCTATAATTCTATAGCAATTGCTACATCTCAAGTCTTCAAATAAATGCTTGGGGAAGGGTACCAAGTTCTAATGAAGATTTTCAGATATAAAATATAGAGCTTTATACTGACATAATTTTGAATGTTACATACCCTCTTTTTCTGTACTTATTGGTCACACCCTCAACTATGAGTATATTAAATGCAGAACTAAAGAAGTTAAAACAACAAAGGAAATACGAGACATTACATTTCTTTATTGTTTGTGGATTCAAATTTAAATTTTGCTGAAAAAATGCAGATTTTTTTTATATATGTGTGTGTGTATACAGCTCTCTGTTTTAGTCCTACTGTTTATTTTGGTTATAATTTGGGAACTGGCTCTGAGATTTTTTTTTTTCTAAACCCACTAACTTTTTACTTGGAGGTAAGTTTCATTACCTTGCAGAGGAAAAGTATTGTCAGCACTAGGTCAAAAAACATTTCTGTATACCTAAGTAATAGCTGACCTTAGATACAACAGTTGTCTTTTGAACCTATGTTCCTGTTCCCTCATAGGAAAAATGTAAATTTGGCAAGTCTGATTTCTGAGTAATCATATTTAAAGAAATTTGACACAGTAGCAGAAAACAATAAAGTAGGGATTTCAGATGAAGTGTTGTTGTATGTGGCTTATGTTTCCTCACCTATCTTCTCAATTGCCACCAACCTAGAATAATGCAGTGGCTGGATAAGTGGCTGGATTCAGTTTGGAGGGAGGGTGAGAATTCTCTACTCTTTATAGGTTTTCTATTTGAATCACAGTAATTGCCAGATTAAATTTCACAGAATCACAGAATTTCTAGGTTGGAAGAGACCTCAAGATCATCGAGACCTCTAACCTAACACTAACAGTCCCCACTAAACCATATCCCTAAACTCTACATCTAAACGTCTTTTAATTTGTAGGGCTATAAAGCAGCTTTCCCTAGAACAACATCCCCATTGCCAGCTTTGTTCACCTCTGCATCAAATTGAAAGTGCCCCAAATAGCTTAAAAATCTTTAAATGATAACTACGTAATTGCTCACTTCCATATTGGTATGCGTATACTGTGATTTTTCCACAATTATAAATCTCACTCTTTGCTAGTAACATCTCTCAGAAAGATTTTTCAGCCACAAAATTCAGTTGAGACTTCCAGGCTGTCAGGTCCTACAGTCTGTTTTCAAGTACAGAAAACCTTTACTTCCAGTTCACAGTAGTTCCATAAGACCCTTTTAGTGTCATGTTTTCTTTTCTGTCCTCATCTTTCTTTGACATCTGTCTGCAGTCAGTAGCATTTTAACGGTGGGACAAGTAAAAATCTCTCTCCTTTTTTTCTTCTTTATTTTCCAACATTAAAGAGCCACAGTCACTATTTTATTTTATTTTACTTTATTTTAGTGTAGTTTAGTTTACTTTACCTTTATTTGACCAGTGTCTAAGTAATAGTACCAGAGCAGCTGCAGTGCTTTCAGAAGATTAAAGAGAAAGGTTTATAGTACTTTCATATTTCACACCTATCTATTCTAGATTTTCTGTTTAGTGTTCTACAGCTTTTTGTGATAAATTCAGAAGTAGCAGAGTAAAGTAGAGGTTTTGGCAGTCCTTTTCTTGCAATAGTATTGCTCTTGCTAAAAATGATGCCTGGGAATTTGACTGTGCTTGAGCAGGGGGGTTGGACCAGATGACCTCCAGAGGTGTCTTCCAACCTCAGCCGTTCCGTGAATCTGTGAATTGATTTTGCTATCTCTCAAAGAAATGCTTCAGCTATTAGCAACAGTAGTGCCAGTGACCTGTATTCTCTAGGCATTCCCTAGCAATCGTTACAAAAAAGAATCTTTCTACTTCTTTTTGGAACTGTGAGAATCTTCCCTTGTGACCATATCTTGCCTGTCTTCCTTCCTTCATCCACAAATGGGGAGGTTTAATGTAACAATTATTCCCTTTCTATTCAGGGAACAGCCAAATTATATAAACACAGTTTCAGCCAAAACCATGCTTTATTTTTCGCAGCTACACTAAGCACATTTCAGAATTTGTTAGGCTTCATCTCTACAGTACTAAATAAAATACTATACTTCTGTAAATGTAGAAAGCAAACAAGAGATAGTATGTAGTAAAACCATTTTACTGGGTAAAATAAACCCAAATATTTGAAATATTATTACTTAATACTAGTTCAATAATTTTTAAAATAATGTCCATATTAGAGAAGGATTGAAGCATCTGGTTTTAGCCTTGATGACTACGAAGCAGTAAAAAGCTGGTTTAGGTGAAATCCTTTTACTTTTTCCTAATTGAAAAGCCTGCAACTTAAATTTTCCAGGCTAGCTATTAATCAGAGAATAGGCTGCAGTTTGAACTTGAACTTCATAATCTGAGGACATACAGGCACTTAGGGCAATGAAATAGCCTGTCACTACTCCGTGTATACTCACCTGAGACTTCCAGGATGGGTACCAGTTAATTGCAAGGACAGATACCTGCTAGGAAAAGACCTAATTAATTGCAGTTACTATTCATTGGCTGTTAGATAGCAATGGTTTCTGCATATTATTAATCTAGGCAGGATTCAAAAGAAACCTTGAGGTAGGATCTTCTTCTCCCCTGCAAGGTTATATGCTGAAGCAAGAATATAAGTACTATAAGAAAAACTTATTGAGTTATTCACTTAGAGTCACCAAGAGTTAAAATTCAGTGTTGTTTAAGAGAAAAATAGTGAGAAATTTTCATTATTAAAAGGAAGAAAAAAAGATAAATTTCAAAGTTTTTTACATCCATCAGAAACTCTGCATGTGTAAGTGTTCCTGGCTGTTAACAGTAAATGCAAATCTGTGGAAACTGCAGCTCAAGCTGTGTTCTCAGCTGTAGGATGTCGGAATGCTGATGTAATAACCTAGAAGTCCCAGATGAACTTTTCTGGATGACTTCTGAAAGACACTGTGCTTTTAAAAAATGACCTTAAATCTGTAGTCAGAGGAGAAAAATAAGAGGATGAAAATAATAAAATAATAGGAGGAAAAATATAGCATTCTCAGTGAGCTAAGTTAGTTCAAAATTTTGTACCATAGTAACTTACTGTTTTTGTTTATGCTTTATTTTTAAGGATGCCAATCAGAAACCAAAAAGTCAAATTCAGAGTGTCAGCATGATTCATAATTTGTAGAGATAAGTTATCTGGAAAGATGATCCTTGGCTAGATCAATACAGTGCCTGTAAGCTTTGTAACCTGTTGTTCTGAGTTAGCAGATTGTACTGGATCTGGCTGGTGTAGAGATAATTTTCCGCCTCTCTTTTCTTCACCTATTAAACTATATTTGTCTCAATGCATAAGTTTTCTTGCTTTTTTCTTTCTTACTCTCTTCTCCATTCTACCAGGGAGAGCAGGGGAGTAAGAGAGAGCTGTGTGGGTGCTTAGCTGCTGGCTGGGGTCAACTCACCACACTGGTAAACTACTTGTAAGCACTACATCATTGCTGTACCCTGAGGTGAGATAGTACAACTCAGCTCATATCCAAGAAATGTCAGTTCCCAGGGTGTGAGAGAGGATTAGTGCTGACAACTTGTTCTGTATGACTACTTCAACAGTGACCAAAATCTCCCTCAAAATCTGTAAAATGCACAAAACAGCTGATGAAAAAAAAAAAAAAGCCTACCAAAGCCACAGTACTCCATTGGAGGCAACATGTGTTTAAGTGGTGGTGCTACATTTTCCATTGAATCACACAACACTAAACATTGCTAAAGGAGTCAGTCAAATGGCTTTTAGGAGTTCTTACCTTTGAGAGTTTCTTGAGTTTTCTTCGACTAAAAATCAGATTTTTGGTCATGCTATATGAGTAACAACAAATGTACAGTCATTTTCATAAAAGCTACACACACACACACAAAATAAAAACAACCCACAAAGCCAGAAAGACAAAGAATAAAACTGAATTTATTATGATAGCACTACAAAAAACTTTTCTAGCCATGAGGATGCTTCAGCATGTTATGACATACACCTATATAAAATAATTTTGATGTTTTATTGGTATGATGTCCTATTAATGATACAAATCAGCATTCTGTCAGTGTAACACCTCCCTAAGGTCCTTTAGGAATTACTACTGAATTTCATTTTTCACTTAGCCAGCTACGTGGCATACATTTATTAACAAAATGGAGCTTTGGTAGAGCTGCAGTGAACTATGTTCACCCTTCAGGCAAACAAGCCCCTCAAAGCTCAAGAGTTTTAGCTCACAAGCTGTCTGCTTGTCTTGCAAGTTTGGTTCTTTCTGCAAACCTAAAAGCACTCAACAGGCTCACATGGAAGGGATTGCCTAAAGGAAATGTGAATATTTCAACAGTGAACCACTGGGATGCTTCCACAGTTGAAAAGAAAGGCATCAACAAAATCCTTTCAGACGTGTCTTGGAAGGATATCACAAATCATAGTATTTAAATTATTTTTAGAAAAGGAAGTGTGAATGAAGATGAGGTACAGATTAGTGGCTGGGTCAAAAACACTATGGCAGAAGAACACACGCTGAATACGAAGGACAAGGTCTGAAAAGAGTAGTTGAAATCATCAGAGAGACTGAATTGGAGAAAAAGCTACCATTAAGAAGCATACTTTCAGGCTGCTGTAGTCACCATATACTTGAGCAGGACTTGGTGAAAAATGCTCAGAGATATTTGAGAACCTATTTTTATAGTTTCTTGGTAGATGCTGGAAGGAAATAGTAGAGATTTAATTAGCACTAAGTAAACATAGAGTCAGAACAAGATGGGCTGGAATTTTCAGTTACAGAAGGATGTTCCTTCTGGGAGCTGAGGATTCTGGCACACCACTCAATTGGGCAGTAAAGTTGTATTTTTAAGGAATGTTAAATGGATGTTGTGTAACCCGGTCAGGGCTGCCTAGATTTAAGAGTTTGTCCTTTTAGATACCAGCAAGTCTGCATCAGCCAGA